ATTATCCAAATGAAAATTTAAATCAGAAGTATCTACTTTTACAAATACCGAACTGCGATCTCTTTATTCCCTGAAATGATTGATTCAGTTTTGAATTATTCATTTCAGGGAATGATTCAATTGATTGAATTGAATTCAAATGATTTAAATGATTGAATTATTCATTTCAGGGAATGATTCAAAACTGAATCATTTATTTGATGATTTTCAATGATGCAGCTTCTTTATCTGAATTCATATATTAGGTTCTAACAATTTCTTCCCTAACTTTTGTCGCATATATTTACAAAGTAGCTTAGTCTTTCTAATTTAAGGTTTAGAATGTTAATGGTTTCCATTAAAGTTTCAAGAATTAACTTTTTAACGGATGCTCTGCTACATTTATTATCAGGTGTGCCAACAAAAACAATAAGGTTGTTTTCAAAGGTTTTTGTAGGAAACACGTCTTCAGATTTAACATTGTTTCTTTTTATTTTTATTTTGAGAATTCCAGAAGCATTTTGTTGACTAGGTATATTTCCAAGAACTTCAGCCAACATAACTAGGTTTTTTACAGCTACACTCTTACAGCAAAAGAGAGAAATTCTTTTGCCTAAATAGAAACTACTTAGGCAAAAGAAGTAGAAAAAACTCTGATATTATTATATTTATAAAACATAAAAAAATAATACACTAATATTTACTAAGTCTTTTATAGACTATACATTGGCTACTATAGGCTCTATTACTATATATAATATTTATTTTTTTTTAATAATAGAAGAAATAGTTTATTAGCTACAAAATTATAAAAATTACACAATATTTTAAATTTGTTTACGGAAATCATACCTATTGCAGAAAAGCAAAAAATACAAATCTTTTTAATAACTTTATCAACGATATCTTGCTTATTTCTTGTGATCTGTTCAGATATTTCATTAATATCGCATGATCTTCTGAGATTTTTTCTGTTATTTTGAGATTTTTTTTTAATCCAATTATTTAATTTTGATATTTTCACCTTTGCTTAATGCAAATAAATTTGTTTTGCAAGAATTTCAAATGTCTTTTTGGACAACGCTTTTTTTCTACATCAAATTCCCTCTAAAATAAATTTTCAATATGAAATTTTACTTCGGAAGTTACTTTAATAAGTTTATGTGATCCTTTTTCAAAAGAAATAAAGCAACATGCACATATAAGAAATTTTTCATCAGCCGTTGACAAAAAATATAAGTTTTATATGATCATTTTTAACGGTAATAATAATTATTTTTTCTGTATTGCAACATTCTCCACCAATTTGATTAGACGATGTAATCATAAAATTACGCAATTTATTTTTGACATTTTTATTAATTAAATTTAAAACTCTGTTTTAAAGTTAATTAAGCTTTTTAAAATTATTTTAAAATACTTTATTTAACCCAGTAATACTACGTAAACAAAAATATTAGAGTAAACAAAAGTTTACCCTGGCAGTTTCAAGAGAGCACAGTGATTTTACAACAATCTTACAACTCACAAAGTTCTAAATAATAATCAGTACGGAATTAGAAAAAGGCACTCACAAAAAATGCAGTAATTGAATTAGTTAAAAAAATATTAAACGGGTATGAAAACAACCAATATACCCTTGGAGTATTTTTTGACCTCTCGAAAGACTTTTATTCTGTAAACCATTATATTCTTCTGTAAAAAACTTAAAAGTTATTGAGTCAAAAGCAATAGCTTTAAATAGTTAAGTTCCTATCTTGAACATCGCAAACAGTGTGTGTTTTATGACGAATCCTACTATAAATTAGAAAACATTACCTGCGGACCACAGGGATCTATTCTAGGACCTTTATTGTTTATTGTTTATATCAACTAAATTTACTTATCATCTAGTATACTAAACTTCAATCTTTTTCCTGACGACACTCAAGTTTTTTATACTCACTCTAACATTAAGACAATCTTAATCGCAATGAATCGTGAACTTGATAACCTTAATGAATGGTTAAAAGTCAAACTCTTTCTAAACCCTACCAAAAGCAAATATACTTTATATATTCTATGAAAATTGAAAATTTTAAAGTGAATGTTTTTAAGTAAAATGAGCTATGCAGAAAACGCCTATATAATTTGTTTTATTTAAAATAATTCAGATAATACCTAACTTTCTATTTTAAAAAAGACACTCTTAAACTCCAAACTCAACTTTCGTAGCAACCCCCAAAGCAATTAATTTTGATTTACTGAAAGCCTCTAAAAATATGTGTAAAAACCCATAGTTAGTTTGCTTCAAAGTCATTAAAGTGTTTTACAGAAATATAAACTTTATGCAAAAAGTCACCAATTTAATACATGTGTTACATCACATTTAAATTGTTTAAAAGTTGAAAAGCTGCAAGTGAAATATTTTTTGTTTATGTTTTTAATCATCGTTTATTTGATTTAGTTACATGGTTTTTTATCTTTTTCTATTGAGTTTTGTTATAGTTAATATAATTGGTTTTTTTATTTGTTATTATTTTTTTGTTCAATTTATTTACTTATAATGTTCGTTATTAATGAAAAACAACAATGAAAAAAATTAAGCTTAGTAACACTTTTTTGTTATTATTATATTTTTATTCTTTGTAGTTGTAATAATAATGGTTATTAAAAAAAGAGTCTAGCTATGTTACGAAGAAAGCCTGGCCACTCAAAAGCATTTTCTAAACGGACATTCAAAGGAAATCAACATACACACACACAAAAAAAAAACACAAGAAGAACCAGCTGAGATTTCTTGTTTTAGAGAGAAAATAAATCTGTCATATTTATCATCAGGTTTATCATTACTTTCTAAAATCACTAATGAAGCCAGACCAATAAACTTTGCATCATCTTTATTCACCAATGACACCAGTTTTTTTCCTTGTGTAAATTCTTCAAACCCAAGTGTATATTATCGATTTTTTAAACTTTTTTCTATTGACATTTTTATGGAAATTATTAGTTTAGTTGCAACATGCCCTGAATTTGACATGAAGACTATGAGTCAAACATTTAACGTCTTAAGAAAGCAAGGCTTGTCTATACCATTATTGTTAAAATGTTCCAGTTGTTGTTGGTGTACAACCTTTCATTTAAGTAAAGAATAGAAATACAAAAGCAGTTGTAGTAGACCTGTTTGAGGTTTATATACGTTCTGTTTTGAGTAGACCTGTTTGAGGTTTATATACGTTCTGTACTACCTGTTATTGCTATGAGGGAAATTGTAAAAAATTATACCAGTTTAGAAAAACTCTGAGGATGAAAAAAGTATTTAGAACAGTGCTTTTTGATTGCTCTAAAGCAAAAGATATTATAAGAATATAGAAGGTTTCCACGTGTCTACGTACTCCTGATAGTTGGTGAAAATATCAGGCTGAAAAAATAAATGGCATAGCAACTTCTAAACATAAGGGATTAATTACCAATTGTTGTCCTTGAAGAAATAAAACCTTTTTTTTCAAGATAAGTATAAAACAAAGCATACCAAAAACTTTGTTAAAATAATTTGAAATCTCAATAATTCACCAAGGGTCACATTTGTGGAACTTATTCCTCCCAAATAAAAGTAAAACTACTACTTCAATTCAAACTTTTAAAAGTATCTTAAAAAAACAGTTACTTGATTATGACGTCTCTCAAATACTATTTTATTTTAATTTTATTATCTTTTATTATTCAACTTTTTTTTTTGTTAAAATGCAATATTAACCTTTACATCAATACTTATCTTTAATTTTTTTAAATTTTATTTTATATATATTATATTTTAAATACTTTTAAATAAAAACATTTTTTGTTTAAAAGTATTTAAAATTGTTTACTGATTTTTTTATATCTTTTATTAAATGATTGCCTAGTTTTTGTTTAATATGTGAATAATACAACGGGATGATTAGACGTTTGTCTTCTGCCTGCTCCCGTCATATCTTAACTAAAAATAAGTATTGCTAATAATTTATTATGAAGATGACGAAATATATAACCAATAAAAGTTACTTTTAGTTTTTTATATATATATATATATTTTTTTTTTTCATAAAAGTAATAAGCTTTAACAATGTTTTCACATCATAAACATATAATATAAAAGTTTCGAACGGAGCTAGAAGAAGACATGGTCTTATCATCCAGCTCCATTAACTGAAAAAATTTATCCGATAAAAATCTAAATGGAAAAAAGAAATTAAAGCAAGAACTGTTATAACAATCAATTTACTCTACAGAAAAAAAGAAAAAACGTATTATTTCTTTATTCTACTTTTATTTTTATTAAACACACACACACACACACACACAGAGTGAAGCAAGCAAGAAGAAGCAAAAGAAGGGAAGTTGTATAAAGCAGGGGACTTTTTTACTTTTTATTAGATTTTTTAAATCTAATATGTTTTTGATTCAAACTTAACTTGTTTTAGAGTTAATCGTTTTACTGATTTTGATGAAATTTTCAGATGTTCTTTCTCTTATTATAAGCTATGTTATAATAGAACAGTTTTTCAACCTGAGTTTCAGATTTTACTTATTTTTAAATTCTGAATAAAAAATATTTTTGCCTTCTTTTAATGTGCACACAACGCTCAGACTTTTAGTTACGGGAAAATGCCTCTATTAAAATATTTGACTACTTGATACTTATATTTGACCTTTTGTGAAACATTTGGTGTGTCATAGATTTATAAAGACCCGTATTATACGGAGAAAGACAGCTAGTCACATAACAATATTAGTTCAATTAGCCTTATAATATATACCACATATATGTAACCAAACTTGATTGAATCTTTTTCGTATTCTTTATTTTATATTCTTTAAATCTTTCTTATATATAAATTTTAATAGATATCTTTAAAGAGTTTATATAAATAATTAAAAATTTCTACTATGGATGTAACTCTTTATTTTGAATTAATTTTTATAGAATAACCCAAGGGAGTATAAATACCCTCGTTCAAGTCTAATTTGTAACTATTTTAATTAAAATACAAAATTCTTACGAACAATAGAGATCCACAGCAGCATGAACTTAAACAGGTTTGACATCCGCGTCTACTCTATCAATTGAATAAGAAAAATAGCAAAATAGCAAATGTTAACTCGAAAAACAGAGCTAAATATAATTAAAAGTCAATTAAGGGAAGTGGAAAATTTCAAATTTATTTATAATTATTGTTACTGAAAATTATTTTTTAAATTATTTTTAAACTTTATTTACGAATAAAATAATAACTTTTTGTAATAACTTTTGTAAGTAAAGATACTTACATTACGATATTTTTCAAAACGTTTTGATGTTAACAATCCAACAAAAACTCCAGGAATCCCAGGAAAAACATACTTACAAAAAAAATATATATATCTAAAATATATAGTGCTATTTTTCTTTTTTTTTTTTTAAATAATAATATCTGCAACTATTTCTAAAAACTCTATACCATGAAAACTAATAAATAGAGAAGTATATTTTTCTCTCCAGCTCTTCCAAGAATTGATATAATGCCAAACAATGCTCCTAAAATCACTTCTGTTACACCTACAATGAATACGTTTTCCTTGTTTAAAAAGCGCATCATTATTGTTTTTAAAAAAGCTAGAAACATTTTAGAATATTTCTATAGGTTTATTTGTATCCTTTACAGTTTATTTGATGTTTAGCTCAAAATTTCTGGAACTAATTTTGATATGGTAAAAAAATATATATTTTTCTTTCTATTATTTAAACAACGCATTGTTTAATAATTCTAAAGTAAATGATTCTATTGACATAAAGACTTTAGGAAGGTTAGGAAAAGATAAAATAAATTCGGAAAATAATAAAAAACGTACATAAATCTTGCTTATAATAAACATCATCAGATATACCAGTTCTTTAGGTTGAAAAATAAAATTTTATAATAAATATTTAAACAATTCTTGTAAATATTTCAAAAAACTCCTTATAAATTTTTCAAAATATCCTTATTAATTATTAAAGGTTAAAAATAATGCTTAAAATTAATAATAATGAAGTACTTAGTCAATGGTGAAATGAAATATAAAAGAAATATACATTTACATTTTTATCTAAGATATATATTACGATAAATATGCTTCTGTGCTGCAATGGTATACATACATAAATATTCGGATAAGTGTCTTTTTATAAGGCCTGGTGAATAAAATATAACAATTGCTTTTACTCAATAAATGGTCAGTTTTACGCAAAAAAAAACTTTAACCATTTTGCTTAAACTTTTATTGATGTAAAGCTCAACAATTACTCAAAGTTTAGAGTAAATTGTTCCGCTTTACGTGAATAAAAATTTGAGGTGTATGTCAATATTTTATTTACGCAAAGCAGAACAAATACTCTAAAAACGCTGAGTAAAAGCAATTTTTTTTTTTTTATTCACTTGCCGTAAAATCTTCTAAATTAAAAAAAAACATAAATATCATTAGAAACGATATTTCTACATCCGTAGTGTATTCCACCATTAAATAATTTTGTACCTTTTTGAATCGTCAAACTATGGCTCTATGTTGTACGCTATCACGCTGTTATACTACGTTATTCTTCGAGAAGCTATGAACAAGTTAGGGACCTTGAATAGGTCAAATATGTCTTTTACTTATTTTTTATAACTATAGGTCAAATATGTCTTTAACTTATTTGCCTACTTTGTATAACAAATTTTTTTACTTTTATTTTGCTTTAAGAGAAATTTTGCTTAAAATAAAATTAAAACCAATGTAACAATTTTAAGAAATGGATACATATTAAAAGTTACAGTTTTATTAATAACGATACCTAAAAACTCACTTTTAATCATTTGTCTAGGCAAGGACGTATTATTAGATGGACGTTTAACGTATTGTTTAAAAGCCAAGATATCCGTGCTATTCATTGTTACAAATAACAATAGCAAAACAATAAAGAACAGATGTTAACTATTTTTAACTTGAGAATATTTTTACTTGATTTTGCGTCAAAATAACGATAGGCTCGCTTAGTCTAAGAAATATTTAAACATTCCATAACACCTAAAAACTCTAAAAAGTTTTTAAATAAACAAAACCTTTTTATTATATGATCTATAAACTCAAGCGAAATCTTTACATGAAAAAAAAAAGTTAATCACAGAAAAATATTAAAACAAAATTGTAAGTGAGACAAAATTTCCGACAAAAATGAGAAATTTAAATACTTAAAATGATAGTGAAAACTAAGTGTAGGGAATAGAGACAACGAGTAATCTATAGTTCGATCTATATATAATCTACAATTTTACCTAAAACATCTAGAAAATTCGTTTTACTTTGCAGTATTCATTCTTGCAAAGTAAATATCACTTTTTTACAAAAATATGATTTTTGACGTCTAAGTTTTATTAATAATAAGTTCTTATTAAAAAGCGCTCATGTGTCAAATTTGACATTTTAAAACAGATGAGCTATTTCTGATAAATTACAATGCATTAATTTAAAAAAAAAGTTAGAGTTTTATAGGTAATTGTACTTTTTAGAAAAAGTAGTTAGAAAAGCGAAACTATCGGAAAGACGTCGGTTTACTTTTATAAATTATTTAGTTAAAATGACACTAAAAATTATAGCTCCCTAAAAATTATAGGTTATAGGTTTTTGTTTACTCGCGGCGCCTCAGATCTATAACAATGGGTTAAACGTCCATCTATTAATACGTCCTTGGTCTAGGTATTGCGCATTTGTTTATTCTGCTTATAGTTTTTATCTGTTTATTTATATTATTGTGCCTTGATCGGACATTTCTCGCCGTCCGCACGACGCTGCACTGCACAAATTTCCGTTTAAAAAACGGAAATGTATTCTGTTATTTTAACGGAAAGTATCTGTATAGATGTATGGATACGTGTATGGATGTATCTATGGATAGTGTTCGATTGACGTCACGATATAAACAGTGTTGTTCCGACGCCATATTGTAGGTCAAACAAATTCGTATTAGTTTTATGAGCTTTAACGCAAGGCTAATTACTATTATTTATTAATGTGGTTCCTATAGAAAAACAGTTTGAAAGTTTATTATTTTGAACAATTTGAACAAATTTATGTAGAATTTAATTTTCTTTCTAATGATATAGTTAATTTTTTTGTGTGGAAACTAAAACTCAATATTAAATACCTTGTTTTCTAAACACTGTCAAACAAGGTAATTAACCTTAGCAACTAAGTAAACTGTAAATAGTATAATCCAAAACATTCTTAAACTTAAATCCAATAACAATAAATACAGTTATTTGTGTTAAATTTTATAAATCTTATGTTATCTGTGAAAGACATTTTATTTAACTTTTGTTTTGAATTATCTTACATAACTCATATACAGCAAACATAATTTGGTTGTTTTATTATTTTTAATTTCTCTGCATATAAATAATATGCTGATTTGTTTATTATGTTTTAGTATCTTAAAAATGTTTAATATTTATTAGCAATACAATACAAACAATAAAAACCACAAACTTAGAAGAATGTTTTATTTTAGAGGCAATCAACACTTGTGCTAAAAACGCAAACAAGTTATAGAAGATCCAAATGATTACGATTTTACTATAAACTTCATATTTATTATAAACTTTAAATTGTTGAAAACTTATGTTTAACTTTAGCAGACATTCTTGAATGTTTTTCATAAAACATAAACTTTTTATTTACAATTTGACTCCGTGCATGGTTGCTGTTCCTAAGTTAAACTTTAAAGTAAAAAGCTGTTTGTTTAAAAGTAGCTGCTTTTTACATCGAATCCTGCAACGAAGAATAGTGTATGCATTTGATGAAAGTTTGATATGAAGGTCTTCGTTGGCTTTAAGATAAGTAGGAAGTAGAGGATACGAATCAAATCAAAAAATTTACGCAATAAGTTGTATTATTTCAAGGGCTTTTACATGTATTTCAAGTATGTTGTATGTTGATCTTGTGCCACCAAATGAACACTTCTAGAAGCATATAAAGCTGTTGCAGTATTATTTATGGCTTGTGGTGCCTAAAGAATTGAAAAAATTGGAAAAAAGGCCATTCATCATTTAATATAGTTGCAAAACCTCATAACATTATTAAAATAGTACTCATGTAATGTCAGAGCACAGCGAATCGTAAAATTGTGAAGTGCAGAAAAAAAACTATTGATTAAATCTTGAATAAATGATTTTACTTCATTAGTTAGCAAAGTTTATATTACACTGTTTACCCAGGATTTTAGTTTTACTACATGGATTAATTTACTGAAACACTGAAGTTAAAGCTTGTGCAGTTTTGTTGTTTTTTTCATTAAATTCAATGATGCAACTGAAACTATTTTTGATGTCTGTAAGCAAAAGCAGCTCAAGCAAAGTTTTTAATCAAAATTTAAAAAGAGGGGAAATCTGAAGAGCAAGAAAGTTGAACTTTAAGTCAAGAAAGTGTTCGTTGAATTTTAAGTCAAGAAAGTGTTCGTTGAATTTTAAGTCAAGAAAGTGTTCGTTGAATTTTAAGTCAAGAAAGTGTTCGTTGAATTTTAAGAGCAAGAAAGTGTTCGTTGAATTTTAAGTCAAGAAAGTGTTCGTTGAATTTTAAGTCAAGAAAGTGTTCGTTGAATTTTAAGTCAAGAAAGTGTTAGTTGAATTTTAAGTCAAGAAAGTGTTAGTTGAATGAAGTCAGCTGAAGAAAAAGATTCTTCCATTTGAAAAGGATTTTAAGTTTTTGTGACTTATTAGTTATTTATGCTTTCATTTTTGCATTTTCTCAAAAAAACAATTTTTTTCAATAAATTCACCTTGAAAATAGGCTCAAATTTGCATAAAAATATTGAATCAGCATATCTAAAAAATGTATAATCAACATTTTTTTGGATTGTTTAATTGTGTTTCAGTATATTTCCACTATTAAGAAAAATCTGTTTCAAAAACTCAACAAAAATGTAGTTTTTTTTCTTTCTATAGGAACCATTAAAATAATAAGCCTTCAAGATTTTAAAGTAAGAGAGGAAAAACCCAAAAAACTTAAAACTAGTAATAAATGTCTATGAAAGCCTCCACAAAAAAGGATTTTCACCAAGTCATCGAATTTTTATTTCCAAATCCGTAATATTATATATTTTTTTGTATTTCAACAATAGGTGTTTAGCTGTATATATTGCTGTGAAAATGGAGGAATATTATCAAACATTACAGGGCGCAGCTGCAATGCGATATGTTGCAAAAATGCAGCTTGTTAGTGGGGTAGACCCGTATAAGTTAAAATTTAATGATATGGACACAAATCCTAAATCACTTCCTTCCGTAGATTATTCAGACATTGTAAATTATTGCGTCTACACAAAAAGTAGACGCAAAAAGATTACTTCCTGCTATATATTACATTTAAATTATATATATATTATCAAACACCCTCTATATATATATATATATATATATATATATATATATATATATATATATATATATATATATATATATATATATATATATATATATATATATATACATATATATATATATATATATATATATATATATATATATATATATATATATATATATATATATATATATATATATATATATATATATATACATATATATATATATATATATATATATATATATATATATATATATATATATATATATATATATATATATATATATATATATATTTATACATATCTTTGTTCAGGTGAGACACTCTCAGAGTATCAGCAAGGCACCACTACAACCTTGGATTACTGCAGAAAAGAGTGGAAATATTTTAGCTGCACACTGCAACTGTATGGCAGGCTTGGCTGAAACATGTACTCATGTCAGTGCCACGCTCTTTGCAATTGATGCTTTTGTGCACCTAGAAAAGAGCCGAACTGTTACTGAAGAAGCGGCATATTGGATGTTACCATCAAATGTAAAGGAAGTAAAATATTCTAGGCTAAAAAACATTAATTTTACATCGACAACAAACATGAAAAGAATTCTTGATACTAAATTATCTCAGACACCTGCTAGACAATATCAATTGCTGCCTCATCCGTTTGTAGAACCACCCAACGCTTGGGAAATGAACAATTTTTTTCAAATTCTGCATGACACTGGTGTTAAACCAAGTATTCTGTCAATAGTACCTGTCTTCGTTGAATCTTACGTTCCTAGGTTTTCATCTTCCTTGCAGCCCTGGATTTGCGAAGACCTAGAAAAAAACGGTTCGAGAGCACAACCTTCTTTACTTGAAAAAGTAAGTACTACTACATCAGTTGGTGAAGCCGCTATTTCCACTGCAATGGATACTGAAGACATTGATTTCAACATTGGATAAATCTGTTTTTGTCTAACACCCTATATATATATATATATATATATATTTTATATATATATATATATATATATGTATATATATATATATATATATATATATATATATATATATATATATATATACATATATATATATATATATGTATATATATATATATATATATATATATATATATATATATATATATATATATATATATATATATATATATATATATATATATATATATATATATATATATATATATATATATATATAGGGTGTTTGATAATATATATATAAAGTAAAAAAAATTAAAAAAAAAACAACCCATAAAAATATCTAAAGGAAACAACAACAATTAAGAAAAGAAGAAATTTAAGAAAAGAAATTAAAAGTAATTTAAAAGAAAAAAACTAAAACTAAAGAAAAAAAAAATTTTTTACATTAATATTAGATAATTATAAGTTATATTCTCAAATATTATATAATTTACAAAAATATTTAATTGATTTTACATAATTTCCGTATTAATGAAAAGATACAATTGATTTGCAGCAATTGGTAAGTGCACAACTTACTGTAAAAATTTTGTCCACAGCTGGTATATTTTCGGCCTCACACATCAAAAAGTCGACTGGTAAGATTTCCTTTAATATAGTGTATTTGTTTCTGGCAAGTCCAATCACTCGTTCTACGTTGACCCTCGATTGAGCAATTTCTCTAGTACTTTCGATATCAACAGCTGATAGCTGCTTCTTTCCTTTTGTAAATGCTGGAATTTTAACTTCAGCACACATAAGACCAACAGAGTCGGCTATATTAAAGCCTTGGTCAGCAAGCACTACATCCCCATGGTTGAGCTTCTCAAGGAGTCCACATTGTTTGGTGATAAGTTTGTCGCTCGTTCTCCCACCCCATGCTTGGGAAATGAAAGAAATAACGCGTTGTGGAACAATGCTAATCAAATATTTTACGGTATTATGACTTTTATAGTTGCTCCATGTCTACGCCATAAGATTAAAGGGCCTTTCAATAAAATTAGAGGGTATAAATAAGATTAGAGCCATAAGATTAAAGGGTCTTTCAATAAAAATTTCAAAACAGTCTATGATGACAGCTATCTTAAGACCAAAGTGTTGTCTGTACGATAATGGCATAGATTGTTATAACTCTTTTCTTTCTGGCCAGTAAATCAGAGGTTTCATACGAACATATAGTATGTGCAAAATATTCTTGAAAGTTTTTGAAATAACGGAATAGGAAATGTCAAATCGAAATGCTAAGTCTTGTATTGGGGTTCCAAGACGAAGCTTCATTAGCGTAAGAATCAATTTTTGGAACTTAGATAGTCGCGAACGCGCTGTTAACGAAATATATGCTTCGACATGCTGAAACACAGCTAATAGCATCTTACGACAGGGCAAGCCTGTGTAATAAAGAACTTTATCATCATTGGTAAATGACTCAACTGTTACTTCAAACGAGATGAGCTTCTTCTTTAACTTAATGTTCTCACTTAGAACTCGTCTATAATCTTGCATTAGGAATTCACTTTCATTATTTTGCGCTGAAAGACTATCATCAATCGTCAGGAATTCGACTTCACTACTTTGCTTTTTATCAACAGGACCTTTTAACAAAAAAGTGCATATTTTACGTTTTGCAATAAAATCGCTGATTAAAACTTCGCTAACTGTTTCACTAGCAGCTCCCTCTGCAAAATGTAGCAAATCCTCTGCGGCAGTATACATGGTCTTTTTTTCAGCTCTAATTTGTGCACGAGAATATCTGAAAGTAACATAAATCTGTAAGTTAATGTTGAAGTTCAACAGTCGGCAACAAAGTTGTCATAAGAGACTGAGGACTAAAATTTTGCTTAAAGCGTCACTTTATTTACTTTAAAATTTCATTAAATACTTACTTATTCAAGATGCACTTTTGAAGAATGACAGTGTAATCTTTTATAACAGCGTAATTTTTTATTTAGGATACGCAACACAACTTCAGTCAACTAACATATAAAGGACTCACCTTGCAACTTTTAAAGTTCTGTGGAGAGTGGAGGTTTCTGTCTCTTTATCTTGTGGTTGCCTTTCTGATGCAGACAATAATAAACTAGGAACCCAGTCAGGACTGGTGACGTCATATAATGCAGCTGGTTTACCTATAGATATGGCGTATATATTAAAAACATATATATTGTACATAGTTTGATCTTTGCAAGTAACGTAATATGGCAGAACTCTATCAATTTCATACCCAAATTAAAGTGAGCAGAGCATATTTTCGAGAACTTGGTTGGTTTTTTTTGTCTATTAACTGCTGCAATCAACTCGCAGCGCCTCTTAGCTGACAACTCTAGCGTTTTATTATCTTGATGTTTTATAATAGCGGGGAAGCTATAGAGAGACATCTTGTCACGGTCAGCTCTACTTCAGCAACCGTTAACAAAACAAGTACTTGGCATAGTTTTGCTGTTGAAGATGAAATAATTTATTTAAGGTAGTTTCTATGGCAAAAAAAAAACAATATTTTTACACACGTTTGAAAACAATCTTTTTTACAATGTATAATGAAAATAAATCAACTTTCTATAATTAAAAAATCTTTTTAATTTAAACTTTTTTTACATACAAAATTTGAATTAGAGAGATTTTATTGTGTATAGCACAAAACTCTAAAAAAAGTTGTAATGTATATTCTTTTAAATATGCTGATCCTGTATTTAAAAAGTGATTTCTTAAAAATTCAGATAACTTAAAACGTTCAGAATTATGTTTGTTTATAGTATCAACACAAGGTTGTGTTGTTAAGTCTTTATCGAGTCAGATTATTAAGTTCCAGTTGTTTACAGTAACCGATAAAACTTTTAAGTCCATCGTCAAATTTAACAAAATCAGAAAAAAACTGCACATGTCCAACACACTATACTTTCAGTGGTACTCTATTTAATTGCATATAAGGCCCAAAACTTTCAACATCTTTAAATTGCATAGTCACCTTTTCTGAGAAACTCATTGTACTCTAATCAATGAATTGAAATGGATCTTCTAAATATGATAACAGCTTGGTTCAATGGATACATCTATTCTTTGTAAATGTTTTATTATTTAGAAGTCAGTTAGATATTTACTATTACTACTTATAGAAGTCCTTGAAATTTTATAAATTATTTCAGAAAATTTTAGAATTTGATTCCTGTCCTCTACTTCCTACTTCTCTTAAAGCTAATGCAGATCTTTCAATCAATTTTGTTTACTACATATACTTTTATTTGCAGCAGAACTGGATGTAAAGAACGGTTCATTTTAAAAACACTACTCTCGAGTGCCGAATACAACGGGAGGTGGGAATAAACGGGTGGGTGGGAATTTTAGTCAAAATCTAATAAACGGGGGGGTTTTAATAAACAAGAGGGGGGTAATGAGAGATTTTTTCTGAAATTTAATAAACGAGGGGGGGGGAGGGGGGATTTATAGTAGGAGGAGGATTGTATCTACAAAATAAATGTGCGGGTTTTGTTGTTTAAAAAAAAGAAACATCTTCTAGTTCTAGTAAACAGAGAAAGAATGAAATCCCCGTATCCCTTCTTACAACCCCCGTAGTAACGTACAAAAATAATTTACCAAAAGAAAATGTACGACTTTAAAAAAGGTTTAATTATCAATGTTTATTAACTTTAAATAAAATATATAAAAATGATCTTTGATCTTTTTATTTAAATAGATCCTCAAAAGCGTTGCGGGTTGAATCATTTTCATCGCGGTGTTCCACTTCATTTTCTAACTGTTCATTGTCAAAGGCTTCAAAGTTGTTTTCAATACGGCTTTTTATGACACGGCGAGATGTTATAAAGCTCCGTTTCAATCTTGTAAGATGTGGAATAAATTGGGTAGATGTTTCTGCATTACATAAAAGTTTTCCTAAGTCTTTTGGGTAGAACTTTCATTTCGGTGGAGTGGCATTTGGTCACCATCCAGCACAGGTGGATCAACTGCAAAATTTTCAACAAAGTATTTACGTACAGTCCAAATGTTTTTCAGGTACTCAAATATTCTTACTTCATGGTCAGCCTGCATTATTTGAAAGCGTTTATTAGGATGGCGCAGACTGACACCATGCTCACTCATCCAGTTATTTAACTAACGGTTTGAGAAAACAATTTTCTTGTTCTCTGGCACCTCTTCTGGTTGTTGGGCAAGCTACTGTAAACATTTTCCTGGGTAAACGTAATTTAAGGGTTCCACGGATGTCTACAAACCATTCGAATAAAAGTTGTCTGACGTCTGGGATGGTTAATTTTCGTCCTCCTCCTGCTTGACGATACCTTGATTTGTTTGGAGGAGCAGTTACAACATCTTTATCTGCCTCAACTTGGTTTAGACATCTTTTTCCAAGTTTTAGGGGTTTTGTTAAGGTTGGATTATCATGCTTAATGTCTTTAAGGTCCGAATAAAACTCTCTTACAGCTCTTGCGAGGTATCCTTCGCGTGGCAATGTTTTAACATGTTTCTTTCTTTTTTAACTAAAGTTGACTTTTTGAAAGTTTTCAGCAATCGATAAATCGTACTCTTTTTTGAAACTTTTACAAAGTTTACCTAAAGCATTTTTTTCTTCCAAACTGTATTAATCTCGGTCAGTTCTTGAAAATTTCCGATCTGACGCCATGTTACAATATAAATATTTTTGTAAAAAATTTTAATTTATAAATCCAAACCAATACTTTTTACAAAGCATGCATAAAACTATTTATGCATGTTCAAGTCAAATGCGCATTTGACTTGCGGTCAAAAGCGCATTTTCTAACAGCTGTTAGGGTAGGGTTAGGCTGTTAGGGTAGTTAGGGTAGGGTTGTTAGGCTGTTAGGCTGTTAGGCTGTTAGGGTTGTTAGCCTGTTAGGCTGTTAGGGTAGGGTTAGGCAGACGATTCGAACTTTTTTGCCAGGGACGTAAAATCAGTCCGTTTCTTTTTTGAAGCAGTAAAACTTTTTGAAAAAGCAAGTGGTTCAGTGATCAATGCCTCAAAAACCAAGGGTCTTGCTCTTGGGGGCTTTGATCCCAAAATGTACCCGGAATTGGACAACATAGAGTGGACTAATAACACCGGTTTCAAAATTTTAGGTGTTACGTTTTACACCAGACTGAGTAATACTACCAACTTCAACTGGCTAGTAACTCTAAACAAAATAGAGAAAAAACTCAAGTTTCTGGGACTACGTACTTTGTCACTTAGGGGAAAGACTATGTTGATAAATACGTTAGCATTGTCAAAAGTGTGGTTTCTGGCAAACGTTTTGCCCGTTCCCGAATGGCTAATAGAACGGTTGCACAGTGCCATTTTCGAAAATCTGTGGCAAAAGACCAATTTCAACCCGGTCAAAAGAGAGACGCTTTTCTTACCCGTCAAAAGCGGGGGTCTCGGAATTTTATCACCGAAGGAGCAAAGCCTTGCGCTCCGCCTCAAAACACTCTTTCAACTGAAGGAATGCGGAGAGGATAACACTCACGATAATTACTACTTTTCAAAGTACTGGTTAGCAAGTTCACTTATTAAATTCACAAACCAAAACCCAAGCTGGAACTTTTTAAAACAGAACAATTTTCCAAAACACTGGGACAACAAAATGTCTCAGTACTAAAAAACAACTATTGAAGTTTTAGGCAAAAACGGGTCCCTTTTTAACACCCCCCTAAAATCAACAAAAAATTTTTACTTAGAAGTGGCAAAAAACAAAAAGACAGTTGTACCAGCAGAACTTTTCTGGAACGGTTCAACAAAAACAACAATGCCGTGGACCCAAATTTGGAAAAAGAATTTTACCTCCCACGCATGCGGACCGACTCAAAACATCCTCTTTCGATTTTTGCACAACTGCCTACCTTCTGCGGCCTTGCTAGCCAAAAGCACAAGGCAACAGATTGTCCAAAACAACAAATGTAAAACTTGTGGTAAAATCGAGGACAACCTTCACATCTTTGCCTACTGTCCTCCTTCTGTTGAAATTTGGGAATATTTTAAACATGTATATAACTCCTTGACGTCCCAAACGGTTTTTTCGCCGATAAATTCGATTTTCTCAATCGGAACCGCGAATTTATCGGAAAAAAATCCTACCTCGCAACTGCTGTTGACACTCACTCAAACCATCATGAGCGAGATATGGAACAGCAGATGCCACCACATGTTCAGTAACACGAAAACTGACCCAATGGCAGTGATCAGGGTAATAATCAGGAAAATCAGGATTATTATTAATTTAAAATATAATTATCATGCCCGTAGAAACACTACGGACATTTTTTGTCAACTTTTTTGTATTAATAATATAATATGTCAAGTAGAGAACGGAAGACTGAAACTAAACATATGAGCTAAACTGACACCCTAGCTCAAATAAAAGAACTATATGTTTAGTGAGGCTTTCCATTTCTCTACGAATTATTATTTTTACAACAAAATATTATTATTTATGATTAAAAAATCACTGCCAGCCTTTATTTATGAGATATAATATCCCTTTTTAGATGTTTTCTCTGTAGCGTACGTAATGTGTTATTTGTGTGAAAGTCTTGTACTTTTCTGCTGTTATTAAGTTATAATTTCCTTTCTTTAAATAATAACTTCACGAAT